CCACGCAGGATTACGCGCGATCTCGCGGGATTACACGCGATCTCGCAAATTTCGCAATTTTTTTTTCAAAAAAAATTTTTTTTTCAATTTTTTTTTTAATTTTTTTTTTTCAAATTTTTTTTTTTCAAATTTTTTTTTTTCAATTTTTTTTTTAATTTTTTTTTTTTCAAATTTTTTTTTTCAAATTTTTTTTTTTTTAATTTTTTTTTTCCGCTTGGCCCTCCTGGGATTCCATAGCCTTCATTATATATGTAGCGTACAATGGGAATTCCAGTTGAAAATCAATATCTCAAACACAATTCTTTCAGACTTAGTCTGTTTATTTCCCGTTTTAGACGGAGACGGGAACAGTTAACCAGCATCAACAAAGTTCTTGTCAAGTGAGCACAATGCAAAGTGCGTTTATTATCGTCAGTGACTATATAAGTTTCAACGTGAGCTCATCGTAGTCATTTGCTGGCTGTCTCTTCGTCACGAACGCTTTTATATACGCGTGCATTAACTGAAGCAAAGTCCATCCAGAGGGCGAGGTTATGGATATGGAAGAAAGGGTCGTCATAAATGTTGGTGGTACCCGTCACGACGTTCGCCAAGAAACACTACGAAGAATCCCAGGGACAAAGCTTGCATCACTTACTAAGCGAACTTTTCACTCTGATGATGAAGTTAAAGAATACTATTTCGATCGAAATTCTGCATACTTTGAAGTTGTCCTTGATTGTCTTCGCACTGGACAGCTTCATATTCCACGTAATTTGTGTGTTAAAAGGGTCCAGCAAGAGCTGGATTTTTGGAAAATTGATCGTAAAGAAGTAGGCTCGTGTTGTCTCCATATATTTACTGACGCAGAGGAACAAGAGACGGAAGCACTGGAGATGTCTAAAGAATTTGGACTCATCCCGATGAACGATGACCAGATGACAGAAAAACTAATTGGTGTGTCCAGTCGTCGTATCCGATTGTGGACTTTTCTTAGCGATCCGAATTCTTCCAAGGCAGCTCTGGTAAGTTTTGTGGCTCATCAAATAATATTAGCTAGACTTGTAAGAAGTTAAAACCAAAAAAATTAAAGCAAATATTTTATCAAAAAGAAACACATATCAATTGTTTTCATTCGGGATATAAATTTCAATGCATGAAAAAGTAAGTTGTCATTTTTTTTAGTGTTGCATTTCATTTAAATCAACTGTGAAGATATACGTAAGACATATTCTGGTCCCTTTTCATTAGGAGGTTGTGACTGTCGACGACGGGTTCTAATATTTTAAACTTAAGTCATACAATATTAGATACTGATTCAAACTACTTTGAACATACCTCAATCATAATTACTTTCATTTAAAAAGCATCTAGTTGATCTTTGTCTCACAGTAGCTTTAATACATTGTGTTTCAGGCATGGCTATACTTCTACCTAAGTTTGGTCGTGTTGACCATAATTTGTACAGCCTTAGGAACTGACAACAATATACGAATCGGCAAATACTTAGGAAACATATCGCTGGACGAAGAAGCTTTGGCAGCAGAATTTGACATCAGTTTGAAAAGATTACAACTAACAATAAGCAGCAAACCACAGTGGATGCATATAATTGACAATGTTGCTTTACTTTTCTTTTCCACCGAACTTTTCATTCGTTTTGTGGTTAGTCCGATGAAAGGGCTATTTTTCAAAGACCCGATGAATATTATTGACATTATCTGGATCATTTTGAATTTGACTATAATAGTCACCACACCATTCCAGGAAAGCAACCTAGATCTTTTTATTTTTGCAGTCATTGTAGACGGAATCGTGAGTGTTCTGCGTGTTTTTAAGATTTTAAGAGTCGCCTCTTGCTGGCTTGGCCTCAGAGTGCTTTTGCTGACCTTAAAGGCCAGTATTAAAGAATTGTTATTAATGATTGTATTTCTTGGAATGGGTTTGGTTATCTTTGGGACATTTATATATTATTCTGAGCTGGATGAAATGGAAGGCCAATTTCCAAACATACTAGTTGGCTATTGGTGGGCCGTGGTTACTATGACGACGGTAGGCTATGGGGACATCCATCCCACCGGAGCAGTGGGCAGAATCGTTGGGACGATATGCATTATAATCGGCATGATTATCACAAGTTTACCTATATCTATCATCGGGAATAACTTTAGCAAATATCTTTCTTTTTCAAAAACTGTAAAAGTCCTAAGAAAGAAAAATGATCGAAACCATAAAAAATAATGAGTCAATTTAAATGTATATGACCTTTAAAATAAAGATCGCAAAGTATATAGGACCATGCAATGATCTTAAAACGGTGAAGGATGACGAATTTCCATTGCGCTAACCATTTTGTGATAAGGAACTCATAAACGCGTGAATTTTTTCTTTCGGAAAATTCACCCCTTTCAGATGTCTCAGCTTTGTGTGTAGGTTTTTTAAGCAGAAAACGTAAGAAAACAAGGAAAATCAGTGGCTGGGAGAAAAGAACAAATGAAATGATAATGATTTAATAACATTCACAGATTGGTAGATTGTGTCTTGATGTGTATTTATAATGTTTAGTTCGTGAGGCAGACCTTCACAGGCACAGGATGGACAAACGCATAGCAGCACCAGCAGGCCTACATTGTGTGTTTAAATAAATGTAGTAGGTTACACAGACTTTACGTATTAAAAAACGTGTACTACGTTACGCAATCTTTGCGTTGGGTTGTATCAAACAAAACTTAGCTACATATCTAAAGAATGTATTTTATTTGAATTGGTGATACTGTCATAGAAATGTCAGTTGGAACTTAGTGCTCTGTTAGCGTCTTTCACAAATTTCTAAAATAAAAAGTTTTTTCCTCAAAATTTTTTTGTTTCAACTCACTTGGCTTTATTAGCCTGGGTTTACTGTGGGGCTTTTTTTTCGCTACAAAAGCAACTGACATGGACCAGGCCTACCCAACTACCAGACTCGGCACATAAGGATCCTGAATTAACCGGTATATCGGATCACACTACCCATTTTCAAGGTGTGTGTCGGATCGCATTTCGGAGTATCATACCCCAGAACAAATTTTGTAGGACGACCGCGGGCTCATCCTGTCGGTGTTCTGACTGATACTTGAAAACGGGTAGTGTGGTCCGATATACCGTTTAATTCAGAATCCTTATGTGCCAAGTCTGGTAATTGGGTAGGCCTGATGGGCGTTACTAAGCAGCGAATCTTAACCAAATATGTTGACCTCCAGAGAAACCTAGGCTTATGGCCTTACTTGGCTTATTTGTAAAATAATTTGCGATAATTGAACACAGACTCATCTTGCTCTTCTTTGATGGGACGTCTATTTTCACACGTCCTTCAACGATAAAACAAAAGGAAAAATATCAAAACCGTGAGACCGTCCTGTAATAATGGACCTGGGTCAATTTGGTGTATTTTGTGCAAGCCTCAGAAGTGTATTTCATAATTTTTATTTTCTACTTATGTATTTCATAATGAAAAGCAAGATTGCTGCCCTATGAATCCGCCTGGTAGAATACATTTGCTTCACTACTTTACATATTTGAAATATTCATCAAACGTAAAATAGTACAAGAGGGCCTGTGAAAAAAATGGGTCGATTGTGCCAAAATCCACACACTCCGCATTTCGTTCAGCACCTCTAAAGCAATGCGATTTGTCAAAGGTTTACAAGGCGAGTCAAGTGACTATACTTCGGTCGAATGTTCTTCATTAAGGTTCGGTTGACATTTGATCAAACTAAACTTTGTCTGTGACAATTTCTATGGCTGCATTAATGGTATGCTGATATCAAAGTTAAACTTCTACTGGACTGTCCATATATTTTAGACGCCATTAACGAGCTAACTGTTCATCTTGCTCTGGTCTACCGATTTTTGTACTATAACTAATATTTCCCAAACTCGAAAGAAAACAATAAGAATGTAACATTTCTAAAAGGACAAAAAGTGNTAGAAAAATACAACATTGGTCAAAAAGGTTGTCCCTAACCCCATGTGCTTTTATTTACAGATGATCGCCTCACAAGTGTAATTTTTTAACAGTGCTTTTTATTCAAGATACATGGTTAACATGATTAATGGTTCATAAATACAAACTAGCGGTGAAAAATATCCACATGGAATTGGGGGGTGGGGGCAAGGAACAACGTTTTTTGACAAATGTTGTGTGTCTGTGTGTGTGTCTGTGTGTGTGTGTGTGTGTGTGTGTGTGTGTGTAGAGAGAGAGTAAATTTCATTATGATCATACATTTTACTTTATCATTCAATTCTGTTTACAGAGGATAATATTAAACTATTGGAAAAACATTACGAACCAGCTGGAATCATAATCGTGGCAGGGAAAGGAAAAAACATCTTGACTCAAGTAACTAAAGGCAAATCCACCGGGGCTCCACCTGCCCAGACTTTTACAAGTCCTGTATCAGTGCCAAAGAAGACGTCAGCAATTACCAAAACAATACCTGTTAAAACAAAAATGGACCCAGGCTCAGTTACGAAACAGCGTGTCATTTCGCATCAACCTGAATTTGCTACGGCTTTGACGACTTCTGTCCCGTTTTACACGAAAGCGAATCTGGCACAAACCGCTAAATCTGAAAAGCAAGCAAAAATATCCAAATTGGTCAAAGAATTCAATCACGTACCGCATTCTACCTTAGTAATTACCCCAACGACCTTGAAGCCAGAGAAAATTTCGATGAAAAGTCAACAGTACTCGACATCTTCAGGCATCAACATCGTTTCACAGACGTCTTTATTTACAACTGTAACGCAGACCACTAGAGAAATAATTGGTACACGTGTACCTTCTATAAAATACAATCAACACCCTGAAGGTTCACAGAAAGAGAGCGAAGAGCTTGATGCTGCTCGTCATTGCCGACCTTCCCTTACACAAGTGGACTCAGTTTCCGGGTTTATCAGGTCTCCAAACTATCCCCATCAGTATGATAGCAATGTATTCTGTGAATGGGATTTGACGGCTCCTGAAGGCAAGGTAAGTAAAACGTCTACACGTCTTTAAAATAGTAATAATTATAATGCTTTTATTTCATCATGATCAAACCATCGTTGCTTTTAGAATGCTTTGTTGATTTATGGCGTTTGATATCCTCAGAAACGCACTGTTAGTTGTTCAGATATTGTTGGTAATTGCTTTTAAAACAGAATAAATCCACTTCTTATTTTCTACTCAATATTCCATTTTGTAAATGACTTGAAGTTTGCGAAGAAAATAGCATTGATATAAAAGTTTTTCATTAAAATCCTTTGTTATAGGTTATAAGGTTTGAAATAGAAACGCTATCCATTGAATTCCACCCAACTTGCAATTACGATAGCCTGACCATTAAGGTGCTAGACCGAGAGGAGTACAGAACGCTTGCACAGTATTGTGGGTCATACCGACCGAGCCCGACCTTCATCATTGTACCTCAGAGAAGAGCTAAGGTTGTGTTTCAGACGGATGCATTTACAAACAAATACGGGTTTTCGACTAAGTATATCTTCACAGGTGAGTTAAATGAAATGCAACACTAATAAAATGACGACTTACTTTTTCATGCATTGAAATTTATATCCCGAATGAAAATAATTGATATGCGTTTCTTTTTTGATAATATTTGCTTTAAAATTATTGGTTTTAACTTCTTACAGTTCTTGCTGTCTGTCCAGAGAGTGTAACAATATCGCTTGTAAATATACGTTTCAGAGTGCGCAAATGAAGAGGAATATTTTGAATGTGGCAGCGGTGAATGTCTTCCTTCTCGTAAACTTTGTGACGGGAACAGAGACTGTCGTGATGGTGGAGACGAGAACACGAGATTTTGTGCACGTGAGTGGGTGTTTCAATGTTTAATAAATTGTGCCCTCTATTGTAAGATTGACTTAATTAACTAAAACTTATTTGGCCTTAGACTTATCGTATATGTATGATGGGTCCAAGTCTACGCGTTGCATGTAAGTGTTTTATGGGATTGCTACGTATAAATGATTTCTCTCCCTTTAGCTACATGGGCGCTGTGCAGCTTCATACAATTTTCTGCGTTGTATTTACCTTGAGTTTAGAAGCTAAAATAGTTCTGTTCAGATCCCATTTTGTTTCAGCTGACTGTGGTATTAAATCGATCGAAGACATCGGAGCCACAGCCAGAGTCCTTGGCGGTGTTCCAGTCAAGTCGCCGACAGCGTGGCCCTGGGTTGCCGGAATCGTGGACCTCTCGGGTCGCCTGCTGTGTGGGGCAGCTCTTATTTCACCTTCATGGGTGCTAACCAGTGCTCATTGTGTCCAAACGTACGTCTTAAAGTTTTGAGAATATTAAGTCATCGACAGTTCTTTCATGTCTGTCTTTCAGATAACAAAATAGGGTTGAAAAACCATTCAATATTTATCCAAAGTAAAGTTCGCCATTAAAATATGATATTTTGAATGGAAACATTTCTTACATTTCCGTCTGGTCTTGCTGGTTTTTCTATCTAAAACATTTTTGTTAGGTTCTTATCAACTTAAATTACGACCACAAACATAAAAGGATTGCTTCATAACTTTTCCACTCAAAAGATATGAAGTTGTCAGTTATTCAATCACTCACCTTACGTCCAATAGTTATGCCATTAGTATTCGATTACGTATTTTACAGTGCAACTTCAGATCAGCGAAAAATCCATATTGGGTCACATGTAATGGATAATGTCAATAGTAATAGCGGTGTTTCACAGTTGATGGAGATATCGAAAATAATCAAGCACCCGAGGTATCATAATAAAACAATGGAACACGATTTGGCACTGATAAAACTTGTCCAGGCCAAAAGTGGAGTGACTGCCATTTGTTTGCCAGAAGCAGACGATTTGGTAGTTGATGGACAGGCGTGTGTTATGGTAGGGTGGGGAGCTGGAAAAGGTAGGGTGGCATTTTGAAATATTTTTATTTTATCTTTTTAATTTTCATTCATTTACTCTGTTTAATTTCCTGTGTGAACCTTAAAGCTAAGCCTTAATTACCCAAGTGCGAAAACGGACACTTCAAAGGGAAAGAATTAAATGAGTACATGGTATATTACATTTAAAATAACGCAGAAATATAATTAAAAAGATACCACCTGTTCCTCTTTTTATTGTTTTTTCTACAGCTGGACAAACCACCGGAAGCACAGTGCTGCAGGAAGTAGCGCTGCCTGTACTGACAACGGGCATGTGTCGCGAGAATACTATTTATGGCAATGCCATAAAAGACAGTATGTTCTGTGCAGGAGATCTTCAAAATGGCGGAAAGGATGCTTGTTCAGTAATATCTAGATAACATACTGTTAGATTTTAAGTCATTTGATAAAAAATTGCATTTGTCAAATAATCCTTATTGAGGCGTTTCTGTTCTCAGTTATAGAGATATATTTATAGAGAAAATATCTTGGCATGATCAGTGATGTCAGTGGAAACACTCGGAGATTTGATGAACAACCGTTAGGTCTTTAGTAGTCCGTTATTCATTTGAAATCTGATATTGCCTTTTTGAAATAAAAAAATACAAAGCCTGTGTAGCTTCACTTGTTTTTTTTTTCTTGACTTTGATACTACGTGTTTTTTTTTTCAGGGTGATTCTGGCGGACCACTACAGTGCCATGTACGTGGTGTGTGGACAGTGGCCGGAGTGGCCAGTTGGGGGAGTGGCTGCGGTCAGGCAGATAAACCAGGCGTATACACTCGTGTTTCAGACTACCTGACGTGGATCTGGGCAGTAATGTCAAGAAACTGATCTCATTGTCGTTGCTCGTGTATACCGGGCATGCATGAGACACATTGAATACAGCCGTTTACCACCAACGAGCACATACTTGCAGCCTTGTTTTGACACACCTGCCTTACCTGTTGCTATAAACCTTACTTAGTTATCGTCATTTATGAGTACATAACCGATTATTAAGAAACTGGTCAATACCTGATGCATTAACTGACAGAAATTTACTGGATAAAACCCTATTGGCGGCGATAAGCTTGTGTAAATTTTGTTTGTTGAAACGTTATCCATTTCGATTTAAGTGGCATATAAATATTTGTTTTAAAACAAACCATTAGTGGAGTCAATTGTGTCGACCAGATCTATTAGTAACATTGATTGTAAACAACTGCAACTTGTTGTTACGAAAATGTGCCTTAACATATTCATTTAAATTGGCAGAGAGCGACATTATGGCCAAACTAAGTACCTGCTGAGTCATTCCATCATTACAGTTTTGGAAATCGGTCTAAAAGTGCATTAATTTAGGTGTGCTTCAGGTGCTTTAATTGCCAATTTGGTTGACATGTGTTTTGTTCTGAAAAATATATTAACTACACGTTTATTGTAATTTTTTTCTTTGGGGGGGGGGGGGGGGG